TGCAATTATAAAGCTGGATGCACATTTTCCCTTCCAGCTTTGTCTGTCTCCTGTTGTGGGTTACCCAACACTTACAGACTGGCGGGCACCGTGGGCGGCCACAGGGACAGGGAAGTCCGAGGGCCACCTCACAGAGCCAGGGGAAAGAGAAGCAAGCTACTTCACAGATCACTGTTTATGACTGAATCATCAGAACCATGAACGCACCTCCCAAAAGGGCTCTTGCCTATGTGGACCCTCAGCAGAAGCTACTGCCCACTCCACCATCACATCTGCAATGGGGCCTTCCTTTTCCTTTAAAGTTCACAAAATACTGGCTTTATGTCTGTCCCTTCCCCTGTACCCACATACACATTGAGAACTTGGGGACATGGAGACCCTGGCTTAGGACTGAGGACAGATGCTGGCTGGGACTGCACACGGAAAACACCTGGTACCCTCGCCCTGAGATGCTAGTGCCTTTAGGGTGAGGCTGGAGAGTGGCCCCCTCAAGACTCTCAGGAGCAGGCAGGCCCACCTTCAGTCAACACAACGAGTCAAAAGCAATTTTGCTGCAGAGTCTCCAAGGCCTCCAAAACACGTGCTGGTCTTGAAACTCCTAGGGTCAGTGCAGGAGAGGAAGACCCCAGACGAGATGGATCAACACAGCAGCTGAGGCGATGGGGGCAGGTGTGTGTCAGAGACGTGAGGTTGGCTCAGCATAGGCAAGGTTCATACAGTCGCTGAGAGTAGTAGTCGACTCAGTGGCACACAACAACACATTTATGAAGCTAATGTGATAAACACCATTTCTTCACTTACTAGTTAGCTGATGAGAGTGAAAAACGCTACCATTTAACTGTTTCGCACATTGACAAAGTACGTGTTGCAGTAATGAGAGCTGAGGTGTGAGGACAGAGCAACACTGTGATGGCCCAGGTCACACGTCACTCACCTGGCTGGGCCATGAAGCTCAATGGTTTGGCGGTTATGTGTTGATGGTACCATTTTCCATTTTGTGACCTGATGTGGTCATCTTCTGTTTTCACATAACACTGATGTAGTATAACAAGGAGGGAGCTCTTGTGCCTAATGGAAAGAAGCTGAACTGCAATCCCAAAGGTACATGGTTCGAATCTAGTGAGAGCTCAGTGAGAGATCGACAGGCCATCTCCTCCCATGTGATTAACTGAAAACTCACTGGAGGGTCAGTTCTGACTAGATGGCAAACAACAACAAGAACCATAACAACCGGTCTTTGAAACCTAAGTCTGTCAGTAAGTGAGGAGAAGGTATAATGAAATGTGCTGTGATGTAATTTCTTTCCATAATGTAAACTAATCTATGTTAATGAGGCTATACCAGTGTAGACTGGCTCTTAACTGTAATCACTTCTGAGTAATAGAAGAATAAGACAGATACAGATACAGGCAAGCAAAATAGGGAGAGGCAGATGCCATGTGAGGATCAGGAAGGAACTTAAAGAATGCTGGAAAGGCTGCGATCTTCCCCAGGGCTGACATAGCCTTTCCCTAGAGCCAGTGGCCTGAATTCATACTCCTAGACTGCTGACCTGTGAGAAAATAAATGTCTATTCTTTAAAACAGAATATACTCTGTGGCATGTCTGTTACAGCAGCACTGGAAAACTAAGACACATAGTTATTGTGTTTCTGTTACTGTTGGATGCTCCTGAGTGGAGTAAGGTTCACCTCAACCCTATGTGTGTATTGCCTATAGCAATCACAAACCCAGAAAGTTCAAAGAACAGGTGTGTAGCACTTTCCCCACCAAATGGTATATACAGATCAACTGTGGTTTTGTTCTCTTCAGGTTTACAGACACAGCCTGTTCTCCACCTTCCTTGTTCAATGTGCTCACCTCTTTGGGGAGCTTCAGGCCCGCAGTTCTGCTCTGCTGTCACTAAACATTTACTGAGCATTTCTTTTACATGAGGCCACAGGGACACAAAGATCTCAAACTCCACTAGCCTTATCTCAGCCCAGAAAAAAGAGAACCAAAACACCTTAACAGGTCATTCCCAAAGCCTTTTCTTCAAATCCTATATAATTCCCCCACCCCCCTCTCCTTTCCTTTTTAGTGGAAATTAGCCTCACGATCTTTTGTACAGCTGAGATTTCTGTTTCAATGACCCATGTTTTTCATGGAATTTGAGATGCTGTTACTCCCTCCTCTCCCATTTAAATCTCCACAACTCTTCCTCCTCTCTAATCCCAAACCAATCTTTCTCTTTTACACATCTGCAGACATTTAAGTATCATTTCCTCACAGCCTGGGACCCTGATAGGGTCACTCTGATAGGATGGGAAGCGTGGGCTCAGCCCTGAAAGGTGCCCTCAGTGGGGATTCCCACTCACTGACGCCCTGAATACTTTCAGCAGAGATGAACTGGGCCAAACTTGCCCAGTCTCTAATGACCGTGTGCTGATGGGGGTATTGATTTCCATGCCAAATTTGACTCCCTGAATCATTCACACACACACACACACACACACCCCACCAAGTCAAATGAACCACATGGTCCACAAGAGCTTGCCGCCAGCAAATGTGGAAGACTCAACCCCTCCTCATTATAGTCTTAGAACTGCAGGGCGATGACAGGGCACTCAGCGCTGAATTAGGGGCTGATGACTGGTGGGGGTGGGGAATCATTCCATTATCGCAGATAACCTCCCTCTCATGGGGTGTGGGTGTGTGTGTTCCCTTGCAGCTTAAGACATGGACATTCTGCTCCACAGCAGCATGGTCCCTTCAGAGAGGGGGGCACATTTTCTAAGGGAGAACAGGAGACACAGCAGGGACAGTGACATGAAGGCGGACCAGCAGCCAAGGAGAAGAGGGTGGTCCCACAGCCCCCACGCCCAGAGGCAGGATGAGGCCTTCCACCCGAGAGGGCTGTGTTCCCTACTGGGGAGGATGTGTCAGGGCCCCAAGAACTAGAAGAAGGCCGCAGGAGGTCCGCAGTCCCCCAGAGAGGAAACACAGGCTTTCAGGAGAGGCAGGAGGTGAGCAGAACCTTCTGTGTGGGATCGTCCAGGAAGCAAGGTAAGCGCAGGTGCTTGTGTTAACCTACGAATCCAGCGTGAACGAGTCCACGTTTCCCACCATTTCAAAGACTGTGCTCTGAAGGATGGACAGCGTTCGTCGCTCTCCTGAGCCCCGTGACAACTGTCTATAGAACCGAAGCAAAGGCTGTTTTCTAATTTCTAATCCTTGACAGGCCTAGTACCTCGTGAGGCAGGCACACACTTCCGTGAGTTCACTGAACAGGGGACACCTGAGATGCTGTTCACTATAGACTACGAAGTGTGCACAGGCTTTTATAACCCACCCCTGCCTGCCGTTCACCCATGAGCTAGGTGGGCTCTAGGTAAATAAAATCAGCTGAGTCAATGGCTTCAGCCCAGGAGGAGTTGTGCTGATCACCCAATGGCAGTGCTATTGGGTTCGAATCCACCATTGGCTTCCTTGGATAAAGAGGCGAATCTGCTCCCATCCCATCTACAGTATCTAAAAATCTGCTGGAGGATTGGCTATGAATTGGTCCCCATTCAACTACAAAGAGAGAACAGCACCCCATTCTCTGAGCGGAGACACCACAATTTCTACTCAGGGAGTACTGGTTTAGGCTGGCAGAGGCCTGCTACCTCCACCAGGAGGCCCCCGGACTCACACACGGCCCAGCACAATGGTGGACACAAGAAGTGAGTCAAGATCCTGTCCTAAGCTGGCCCCTCAGTGCTGGGCAAACCCTACACAGCTTCCCACCCTTCTCCCCACCTTCCCTCTTGGACTCAGAGAAGAGAGAGGGGTCTCCCGAACATCTCCACCTCAGGCCGGCAGACACGGGGGTTCCCTCATCTGTAGTAGGCCCAAGGGTTTCATGAGCCAGAAAAAAATCAGTCATCCAAAACAGATCCTCCTTTATGTCCCCAGAACCGACCATTAAAGAGCAACATAACGCGAGTAACCGGCCAATAAAGCCACCACGGTAGAGAGGGCATCACGTCTGAACAAGAAACGACATGGCCCATGGGGGCCAGAGCAGCCTTGTGGGGCCCCTATTGGGCCGGGGCAGCCCCCGGTGGGGTGAGCTATGGGACTAGGGCAGCCCAGGGGGGCCCCCTGTGGCGCCAGGGCAGCCCCGGGCGAGGGGTCTGTGGGGCCCAGACAGTTCTGTGGGGCCCGGGCCCTAATACTGTTCCTTCAGCGGGCTGACGTGGGGAAAGGCAGAGTGGCTGCTTTCTCTCCACCCAGCTCAGTGGTGACCCCGACGGAGTACTGAGCCATTAGCGGATTCTCCTTCCCTGATGACCTCCAAGCAGGGGTCAGGGTGCTACACGAGGACCCCTTTTGAACTGAGTCAGGCAGTTGAGCATTAGCTCGCCTGCCCTGGGCAGACGGGGCTCAGCAGGTCTCCATACTGTCCCCACGCCTGCTGGCGCACCCTCATGGCCGGCTCCCGCGTGCCCGCCAGGGCAACCCCCACGCGCCTGTGCACCCCCCTGCTAACCTGTGCACCTCTGGAGCACCTTCTGCACGCCCCCGTACCCGCTCACGCGCCCTAATGCCTTCCTCGCTTACCTCTTGTGACTCCCCCCC